GGTGTAAAAAGACAATTCAGGCAGAGGTTCTGAGCAGGAATTACAAAGTGACTAAGACTGGTCCACTCTGGCTGGAGCAGAAGGTATCTGGGAAGAAGTAATGGTAAGTAAGGCCACGACACAATGGGGACAATTGTGCACAGCCTTCAATGCCTGGCCAGGGGTCAAGGCTTGATAATGGCAGACCAAAACAGGTCTGTGGCCAAGGGAAGCCTACAGGGTGCTTTAGGAAAACAAATCTAATTCTAGTGTGCAGGATCAATAAGAAGGAAAAGAAAATAAGGTTAGAAAACCTGATAGACACAACTGAAATCAAGAGGTACCGTAACTAAAGACAGTGTTTGACTCAGTCAGAACTAGGATTAAAAAAAATCTATATAAAGGACATTACTGGGACAAGTGAGGAAATTTAAATATGAACTATATATTGAATAACAGTATTTATTAATGTTAACTTTCCAAAATATGCTAATTATGTTTTGGTTTAATTGTGTCGTAATTAAGTATGTTAATTAGAAAATTATGCACAAAATATTATATAAGACAATGCCCCTGTTCTTAGGGGATGTCTGCTGAAGTATTTAGGAATGAAAGTTATGATGTCTGCAACTAACTCAAATGGTTCAGGAAGTAAATACCCATATAGAGTGATATAAAAGCAACTGTATCAAGTATTACTAATTGGTGACTCTAAGAACAAGATATAAGGATTCTACAGGAAGGAGGAACAGGTTTTAGTTATTGAGCAGGGAAGAGGGAGGGAAGGTTTTGAGTGTATCTGACAGAAAATGGTGGTAGCACCACTGGAAAAGGGAAGCTGGGGGAAGAAACAGTTTTCAGGAGGCACAGGCTGAATCTGGCTGTAGACAAGAAGTGGCAAGAGGAAATAAGATGCTAGAATGAAATGAGGAAGAAATGTCTTCAGGCAGTTGGAAATACAGGAATAGGACTCAGGCCATACATCAGGACTAGAAATTACCTAGATAGATAACAGTTTCAGCATGAGAAATGAATGAGATCTACAGTAGAAACACAGGAGGGAGAAGAGCAAGGAAAGAGATGCCTGACAACATAATTTAGTGATAGAAGGTGGGAAGAAAGTAAGAGTAAAACCAGGAGGGTTCTATGTGACAGAAACAAAAGTGGAAAAAGCATTAAGAAGGCAGTGCTCCACAGAATGACGAATAGCATCAAATACTGCAGAAACACTGGAGAAGGTGACAAGCGGCAAAGGGGATTACGAAATCATCAGTGAATTTTGGGTGGGAGTGAAAACCAGGCTATAGGGCTCCAGAAAGGGAACAGAGGAAGTAGAAATGCAAGGCTGGGTGTAAATCACTCACTCATTGAAGTTTACCTTAAATGAAACGACGGAAATGGAACTATAGGTAAAAGGGGCAGTAGAAACACAGGAAGAGCTGTATTCTGTGAGAGACTGGGGCCATCTGGAGAGATCTGTAGTTACAGAAGAAGGAACAAACAAGGACCCCTCAGAGACGAGTTGAAGAAGTGCGATTGTGCTGTACGTTGGGGAAGCATAGGAAGAACACTTAGCTCCAGAAACGGAATGCAGCAAATCGTCCTTTAAGACAGGAAGAAAGGAAGAGAGAAGAAGTAAAGAGAGCAGAAGTGATAAAAAGAGTATTAACAGAAACAATTTAAGAAGCCGAAAAAGAAATCTCAAGATTAGAGATAAACAAACTGCCAGGGCAGCCAGAATCCAGTCCTGCCTGGTCCTTACAGAGGCCTGCTACTCCAGCCACATGTGCTCAGGGCAATGGGGCAGCTCTCTGTGACAACCTAACGCAGAGTGCAACGGTCTAGGGACTGATGGGAGTTCTGCCTTCAGGTGGAGAGATTCCTCAATTAAGAAGGAGGGAGTTCAAGGTGATATTCCTATTGTCTTATCACAGGTCCTTGGCCTGAGTAAAAAGACTATTTTCTACTGTCAGTCGGAGGTATGTCTGAACCAGTAACTGCTCTACGTGAGGGCAAAGCTAAGCTGGAAATCCCACTAAAAGAAAATCACCTGCTGCAAGGTACCTTCGGACATTCTAAAGGTGAGCAGAGTGAGATTCTGACTCCTTACATGGTCACTTTTCAAAAACCTCAGCAGACACAGAGAGTAATTTCCTGATGTCATGTGAACTAAAAATAAACAGTTTTATAAACTGTAAAAAAAATTTGCAGCGGCAGCAAAATATTTTATGGAACTTATTTGAAGATAAGACGTATGAGAAAGAACATTTTTATGGCCTTTTATTTCCTTTTAAAGCCATGCCCAATAAAATAGTTAGGACTGGAATTACTTTACTGCGTTAGCAGGTACCCTTACAAATATTTAAAAAACAGTACTAGAATGATAAGGAAAAAACATCATGATTACCTCAGGAAATGGAGAAAAAGGTTTGGATACATTTTAACACACTTTCCTGACTCAAAACTCCTGGCCACTAGGAAAAGAAGGGAAGCAACTTCCTTAATCTGATAAAGAATATTTACCAAAAACCTACTATACTTCAAATATCATATATATAACAAATATTATACTTCATGGTGACCGGAAGAAAGCTTCCCTTTGAAATCAGGAACAAAATGAGATGCCCACCAGCACCACTTCTATTTTCATTACACTAGAATTCCTAGTCCACAAAGTAAAACAAGACAAAGACCTGAAAGGTACAAGGATTGGAGATAAATGGGCAAAACGTTTAAAGACAAAATATCAGAATTAATAAGCGTTTAACTCAATATCTGGATTCAACATCAACAAACAGAAATAAAGTGATTTCCATATAGCAAAAATAAACAAAAAATGAATATTTAAAATATCATATACATAAAAAACAGGTATCTAGGAATAAATTTAATAAAAGGTATGCCTCTGTGGGGAAAACTACAAAAGTTCATTGAGAAACCTCAAAGAAGACATAAAGAAACAGATATACCATAATACAGATAAAACTCAATATTGTAAATTCTCCTCAAATGTTCTATAGATTCAGTGCAATTCCAATCAAAATCCCAACAGGTGTGTGTGTACGTGTGTGTGTGTGTGTGTAACTTATAAACTAACTCTAAATTGTATATTCAAATGCGAAGGACCCAGGCTCAATTTCCCACAGGACCTGCAACTGCTTCCCCCGGGTGTACCATCCCACAGGCCCCAAAGTTTTCAGGTGTTGGGCAGCCAGCACTCCCAGACAACTTCTATAAACAGCTAGCACCCAGATACAGACTGCCTGGTGTCCACACAGTCTGTGTATCTCCTCACTGGTAAGGTTACTCCCACAGTTGCCTGATAAAAACAGAGGGCACTGGGAGAGGGGGGCGGTGTGGGGAGTCACTCCAGCAGAGACTGGCCCTAACACCCCTCTCTGTGGGGACAATGGGAGGATGGGAGACCTGTGCCTTCTCTTCCCTTGCTTAGGAATTTCCCCTTTTTCTAGGGGAAAGCCTATCCCTTAATCCATGCTTTGAGATGTGGATTCATGTCTGGCCTGGTAAGCAACAGGTGGCATCTGCAAAGGAATCCACTTTCAAACTAGGTGGTAAGCCCAAAAGTAACACCTTGTATTTCACAATAAAAAAAAAATTGTTTTAAAACATTAACAATAAGGTCTATAAAAGACATTCTTTTATTCCCCCCATATTCTCAAGTCTCTTTAACCTTAACCTTTTCTCCACACTAGTACAGAAAGGAACTAGATTTGAACTATGGCTCTCCTTAACAGAAATTACAAGATAGCAGCACCTTCAACAACTGACAAGCCTCAAGCAATTCTAAGTGCTTGCAAAGAGGGGGCTAGGAGGTCTCTGAAATTTCTCAAATCCTTTCATATGAAAAGGCAGCATGACCCCTCAAAAGCACAGTGAGCTCCGGAAGCCTTGTGAGGCTGTCAGGGAGCCCCAAGTCTGGTATCAACAGAAGGAATGGGGTTCTGTGATTCTCCCTCATCAGGCTGCTCATGGAGCCACAGAGCCGAGCCAGATGTTGAGAGAGAAAACGTCACTCCTTTCCCACATCCAACCTTAAGAACGCACTCACTGCATAGGGCCAGAAAGTGCCATCTGAGAGCCCTGAGAGAGTTAACTGAGACTGAAGATCCTATTGGGAAATGACAAGAAAGTCCTATAGATGGATCTAGACACCTACCTCATCATGATGAAAACAAATTAATAAAAGATCACGGTTTAACAATGAGTAGTAGTCTCCTAAAAATCATTCTGTCCCTCCAAGGGCCATGAATCACAGTGACAACGATCAGTTGAAGAAAAACCAGGATCAAGCAAACCTATAATGCACCAGCCTCCACCAGGGGATAGCTCTGGGTACAGCATGTGCCTAGCTGAACAAAACAAACGTGGCAGTTCCTATCCCCTTGCTGGCTGTCTCCCATGTTTAATTTGGCACAAGAGGACACAGGTCATGTCAGTTATGCTACTAACACAAATCTGAGAACAGGTACTTTAGAACATTTCAATTCTGCATCTGACAGCTGGCATCCCCACAGAGTATCACCTGACCTCAAACTATGTTATCGATGTCTTAGTCACTCTATTGCTCTTTAGGAAAAATATAAAAATATAAATTTTACTAGCTAAGTTAAAGCCCCTGCGCCATGATTATCCCAAAGCTTCACTGTCATTGGACTATGCCCAGGAAACTCATTTTATAATCAACATAAAATCAACTATTTATCTCAACTTTGGCCTGGTAGCCAGTCATTCTAGTGACATCATTGCCCTATACCAAGAAGTCTGTCTGTGAAAACATGAACCATGATATAGGCCCAGTAATAATCTTGTGTGTGTTAGAACTGGTAACAGATCTTAGCAAAATACCCCCAAAACTATTACACTCAAGTTATTAAATAAAACCGGTTCTAGGACTATCCCCAGAGTAAAAACATCCAAAGAAAGAACAGGAAAGCAGAGAGGTGGCTAGAGGTGTCCTATGCTCTTAGTTTTCTAGTAACCTGGTTTGGGAGAGAAGGTACCTTATCCATATGGAAGATCAAATCCAATTCACAAACATTTTCGAAACACTTATCCAAGGTCTCCACAAAAACCTAGAAAACAAGGAGAAACAGATAAAGGAGAGAAACAGGGACATACTCACGTCTCCACAAATGTCACACGTCAAAGTAGAGGGGGCAGTCGTGATAGTACTTACCTCATGATAAATCTACAAACAACTGCCAGCATTAGCTGATCACTCTACTTATTCCAGTTCTGAGGGGAAAATCTAGCACAGGACAATCTTGTTTTGAGAACAGCAAGACAACCAGCAGACACATGTGGCTTTCTTTCCTTCTTTATAAGATGCTAATTTACATAAAATAATAAAATGAAATACCAATTACGTACAATACTATGTCCTTTCCCCAAGCCTCCATGTATACACGTACAAATATTTTTCACTATTACAGTGTTAACACAGTTTTGTCCTGCTAATTTCAATTAACACTAACATTAAAACACCTTTCCATGAATCAATTTATATGCTTACAATTTTAACTTTTTAATATAACATTTAAACAGAAAAGTGGACAAATGATAAGGGCAGCGCTTAAAGAATTTTCAGAATGTACTATCACGTCACCACCATCTATACACTGAAATGGAGTACCACCAGCTCCCGAGAAGCGCCCTTCCTGCCCCTCAGACACTACCCCCTCTCCAGGGGTAACCACCATCCTGACTGCTATCTGCATGCTTGAGTTTTGCCTGTCCTTGAATTTACACAGATGGAGTCATACAATATGGACTCTTTTTATCTGACTTCTTTTACTCAACAATGTTTGCGAATTCTTCCATATCACTGGCTGTCACAGAAGCTTGTTCATATTCATTGCTGTATGGTATTTCATACTAAAATTTATTTATCTATTCTCCTATAGATGGCACATTTGAGTTGTCTTCAGTTTTGGGGTATAAATTGATAGAAATGGACATTATATTTCCAAGCACTTGGAAAACTATTTGACATTATTTACTAATATTCTATGACCTAGCAATTCTATCCCTAGGTCCATACTCAACAGAAATGCATATATATATATATATATATATGCCAAAACCACATACAACAATTTCATAACAGTACTATTCATAACTTTAACATTTTCAACAGTGACAATAGTTCACTGTAAGGATTATATACTAAAAATGGGCTTATTCTCAATCACTGTGCTGGGCACTTGGTAAATCCTTATAATCCAGCAACTCAAGTCATTCAGTGTGGGGAAAGTTTATCGAATAATTTTTTTGAGAATTTCCTCCCTTCCATGTTCCAATCTTTTTGGAGCTACTTATATTAGAATATTGGATCTCCTTATTTTCTTATCTTTTCTCTCCCATTTTCCATCTCTGCCCATTCTAGGAGAGCTCCTTAACTTGACCCTCCGATACTTCAACTGAGGTGGGGGTTTTCCCCCCATTTCCCTTTCAGGTTTTTAATTTGTAAGAGACCACTTTGTTCTGTGTTTCTTATTTGTTTGGCAGCCAGTTTTTGATGATCTTCTTTTATTTCTCTGTGGCGTAAGGACAGGGTTTTATCCCTTTGTTTGTTTCACTGTTTTCCTTTCTCTGCACGGTCTCTAGCTCCTGTAAGTGGTTTTGTACTGTCTGTTAGTTTTAGACCCTATCTTCTACGTTAGAGGCTTTCCTCAGATGTCTGATTATCCGGGTTTTTTTATTCATAAGGAAAAAAGGCTGATTGGAATCTCTGGAATCATGGCTATTTGTTGGAAATCTTCCCCCCATCCTTATGGTTTTTTTTTTTATCTCTTCCCCCTTAGATTGGTCAGATTTCCCAGAGAAATTTTCTAATCTCCTGCCTGAAGAGTAAAAGACTAGCTGCCAGAAATTTAGGAGCCGAGCAGCAGTAAAAGGGCATATATGCTCACCCATCCCCCTGATGTGCACCATCAACCATGTCTGCTGTCCCCCAAACCAGACGCTTGCTCTCACCCTCTGCAGAGAATCAACCTCTCGTCTTGTGCTGGAGGAGGGCAACTGCCCAGAGGACTGGAATGGGGGAACGGACTTAGGGACCTAACTGGCTCTCAGACAGCCTCCCCGTCCATTCTGCCCCCACACCATAGCGAGACTCTGTGATGCCAGCTCCGTGCCTGCCGAGGGTTCTGCAGTGTGGAGCAGCTGGGCCGTCGGCTTTCTCTACTGCTGGCCAGCATGTGGCTTCCTCGGGTTTGCCAAGTCAATACCAGGCATTCCTACTCTTTCCTGCTTTCAAACAACTGCTTGCTATTGTCTCCTCTCCTGTTCTCTCTGTGCTTTTATGTATATATGTTCTTTCAAAATTCATGTTCTATGGTTTTAAAAGAAGAAAATAGAAGCATAGAAGTTCCCAAAAGGGCGTTTAAAAAACGAAACTGACAAAATCTAAAGTTCTTACAGAAAATAAAATGTGAAGATACTCTGCCAATAACATTTGGAAAAATAATGATAATAAAAAATGACTTGCCTTACTAGGTATCAAAATTCATTGCAAAGTTTTGGTAATTAAAATAGACTAACACTAAGATAGGAATAAAAGTATGGCTCAGTGGGACAGAATATAAAATACTGAAACATACACGTTTATAAAAAAATACATTTTTTTCCAGATGTGGTAAATCATTTTCAAAAGTGTTAAAGGCAAAAACTAGATTTGGGAATTTATTAAAAGGCTAAAAATTCATACAAAATCTGCAGCAAATTTAGACAAAAATAGATGAAAATACATCATTATCTGTCTCTTAAATAAAGTAATACTTTCCATAAAAAACAAAGGTGGACCTTTGCCTTAAGTCTGAACAATGCTGGCTCCAGAATTCTGTGCAATTCTGAACAAAAATACATTCTCTGAAAATTATTTTCCACTTATTGTGAACTTCAATATGACCATGTTCAAAGGCAAATCATGATAAAACTGCCATTGTCTTAAATTCTGCAGGCTAAGAGTTTCAGACAAGCTGCAGTAAAATGCCATGGTTGAGAAACCCAGTGAAGCCCAGGAACAGAGCATGAATACTTTGGGTGTTAAAGTTCAAGAAAATTGGAGAAAAAAATGTGACGTGTTTCTAGGGACACCCAAAATGAGAGCCAGAGCAGTCTGTGAAAAAGTCACTGCAGCCTGCTGTCACTGAGTTGCCTCCATCCTGCAGCTCCCACACCCCAATACCCACCATGACACTCATGTACGCACCATGGTTGGCGCCACCAAAGCCTCTTCCCCGTCCTGGCAGGTTTGGGGGTGGGGGGACTTCATTGTGCATGCGGCCTCCCATGCCAAGAAAATACAACTTTTGATAAAGAGGGTATTTTAAATTGGTGGGGGAAAAGATGAACTAGTTGATACACTAGTTGTTGGGACAAACAGCTACCCTTTGGGGAAAAAATTAAGGTAGTTTACCTAGCTCAACGCAGACATAAAAATGCGTTACAGATATTAACGAGCCAAATGTAAAAACAGCAATGGCAGATCCCCCTTGTGCCATCTGGGTCTCCTGTGGGAGCGAGTTAGCCAGTGTGTGGGAAGCTTCTGGGCGGTTGGTACTGTTAAAAGCAGAAATTGGAGGTGCTGCCCTAGCAGCCGGGACTCTGGACTGAGATGCTCAGAGCATATGTGAGGACAGGCAGACCATATTTCTCAGCAGCACTGTACTAAGGGGCTGTTTTCATTAAAAAGGGTAATGACATTAAGACTGGTGTATTAGTCTGCTTGGGCTGCCATAACAAAACACCACAGGCTGTGTGGCTTAAACAACAGAAATTTATGTTCTCACAGTTCTGGAGGCAAGAAGTCCTAGATCAAAGTCAGGCAGGACTGGTTTCTGGTGAGGACTCTCCTCCTGGCTTGCAGACAGCCACCTTCTTGCTGTGTCCTTGACAGGGCTTTCCTTAGTCCATGAGTGTGGAAAGAGAGAGATCTCTGGTGTCTCTTCTTCTTCTTATAAGACCACCAATTGTATGGGGTCAGGGCCCCACCCCATGACCTCATTTAACCTTAATAACTTCTTTAAAGGCCCCATCTCCAAATACAGTCACATCAGGGGGAATGTGAAATGAATTTGGGGAGACATAATATAGTCCATAACAACTGAGTTCTCAAATAGGCTAGTGATACAGAATAAGATGGACTAGCTCCAAAAAAGACATTTCCCCGAAAAGAGTAGTCAGATGTATCTGTTTCGCCTAGAGCCTCAAAACATCATTATTCATGGTCACAATCAAGGTCAAGAGAAAGAAAATAAAAGTCAGATAATGAAGGAAAAAACGCAGGAGCCGGAGCACAAGCAAAGAGCATGCTAATGCATGAAGAGACTCAACTGAAGATGCTGCAGACTCTGGTAGCGAAATAATACAACATGAATCCAAAAATAAATTCTCTAAGAAAAACAAATCTGAGGAATGTAATGCAAAGAATATTCTTCTCATACCGGAAGAGAGCAACTAAATTCATCTGAAAATGGTGAGGACAGACACAAATGCAAAGAAAGTCAGTCATCAAGAGGCAGAAGTCAGGGGTTGCCCAGTGGCCGAGTGGCGAAGTTCGTGTGCTCCGCTTCGGCGGCCCAGGGTTTCGCCAGTTCGGATCCTGGGCACGGACACGGCACTGCTCATCAAGCCATGCTGAGGTCTCATCCCACATGCCACAACTAGAAGGACCCACAACTAAAAATATACAACTACATACCAGGCAGCTATGTGAGGAGAAAAAGGAAAAATAAAATCTTTAAAAAAAAAAAAAGAGGCAGAAGTCACTCAGGATGTAGGTCTCATAAAAGGTGTCATCACAGTAGAAGCAGGGAATGGAAGAAGTCTCGATCCAGGAACAGGGAGCAGAAGAAGTCAGGATCTAGCAGCAGAGAGAAGAAATCATGATCCAGAAGCTGGGAAGGAAAACTGCAGACCAGATCTCGCTCCTGCTCAAGATCGAGGTACAGGCATAGGGGTAGAAGCAGGAGTGGTACGAGAAGTAGAAGTCGAGACAGAAAGGAGAGAATGGAAAACCATGAAGATTTAGCAAAAGTTGAAGCCGGACTCCTACTCTGCCTCTCTTCAG